AGGCGAGCTCGCGGGGCGGGGAGCACCGCTGCTGCCCGCGGGTGTGGGGCAATCCGCAAGTCGGCATGCCTGGCCTCCCAGAGCCCCCCACTGGCCTGTGTCAGCCCAGGGCACAGCTCCGAGTTTCAAAGCCAAACGTCCCCCCTTCCCTGGGGGTTCCCAGCCCCCCAGCTTTCTGACCCTAGATTCGTGGCCAGGCTTCTAAGCCATCTGGACCAGTTGTTATTTTGTTTTGCCCCAAAGTTTGGGGTTTTTTGAGAGATTTGCAATGTAAGGTCCCCCTGACCCCTTGCCACAACTGGAAACACTTGAAGGGGGACCCCAGAGCCAGCTGTGGCCGGTTCCTGGGGTCTCCTTGACCACCCACTGCTTCTCCCCAGCTGTGACACTGTCATTCCCTTAGCACCAGCTGTCCCACCCCTAGGGTCCTACCCAGGTCAGAGATGGCCCTGCCATGCAGAGCAGCGAGCCTCAGCCTGCCCCCGCCCCCCTCCAGCCCTAGTGAGGTGGCCTTCTCCCTGGAGACCCTCAGCCCCCTGCAGATCTGTAGCCAATCAGCAGAGGGGAACAGGACCCCTCGCAGCCATACACGAGCGGTGCACCGTTTCCCTCAGGGCCAGCCTCCTGGGGTTCCAGCCCCGGAAATGCCTCTGGGCATTAAGCCTTGCAGGGGTCTGGGCGGTGGGGAGCCCCCCATCTCTGCACCCCACCTGCAACTCCTTGAGTTTGGCCTCCGCCTGCCCCACCTCAGGGACCATAACGTGTCTCATTCACTCCCATGCTCCCTAGAGCTGACCCCACAGCAGTCACACCTGCTCCCCCAGAATGTCCTGGGCACGTGCAACAGCCAGTGGTCCCAGCGTCCACCCCTGCACCCCTTCACCCAAGACTCACCCTACAGTGACCGGTTTTGAAATGCGACCCGGATGGAGAACAGGTCTCCTTCCCATAGAAAGCCTGCTCTTAGCCTCCTGCCCATGTGGGGGCCTTGAGGACCCAGGGGTCAGAGGTTAATCATCTTTGGTTAGGGCTTTAGAAAGTCCAGCTGCAACTAAGAGACGCCAAGGTCCCCAGCTTGACCTGAGTCCCTCTTCAGGGCTTCCCGTCTCTGCCGTCCAACCTGAGACCCAAGAACTCGGAGGAGCCAGACAGCCCAGTGAAGGCGGTGGCCGGCCTCATGCCTTACTTGTTTCTAGGGGTACAGGGGTCTGACACCCGCCCGACCTCCTCCGAGGCACCACCTGCTCTCTGGGCCCCGCTGTGCTGAGCTGTCGGCCATCCTCTGGCCACACACCTTGGAGCCCTTTGTCCTCTGGAGCTGGGCAGCTCCCAGCCCTCCACGTGTAGGTCATCTAGGGGGGAGGGGTGGGGTGCCCGGGGGTGGGGGAAGGGCTCCTGCCTGTTTGTTCCCCAGTTCTGTAGCAGCCCACCAGCATCACCTTTGAAGTATACATGAGAGAAATATATTTGCAAATGCTTTATTCTCTTCTTTAATAAAAAATGCACCAGTATTCTAAAAGCAGAAATGGCCCGACCCCTGTGCTGTCTGTGCGTCTCACACACCCGCCTCCATCACTTAGCTTTGGGGAGAGAGGGCTTCCTGAACCCCATCCCCGCAGACTGGCAGCCAGGGAGCTCTGATAGGCGGCCTCGGAAGCTGCGTGTTCACTGAGTGCCAGCTCTGCGGGCCACGTTGCCGGGCAGGGCACCCCATGCTGGGTGCACCTTCCCTGTTGGGCAGATTTTGCAGCTCCCAACCCACACCCGCCAACAGCTTCGACTTCAGAAACCACAGCAAAGGCTCCTGGATCTTTGGGGGCTCAGTTTCTCGCTGCCTTCGCCACATTTCAGTTCCACATAGAAAATTCTGCGGGCTCTGTGGGTCCCAATCCCACGGGGAAACGCTCCCATAACCGTCCCCCGGAGGTCAGCTCGGGGAGCTCCCCACTGCACCCCTTTCCTTCCTGAAGGGGCCAGGGGCACCCTCCCTTGGGCCCTGGAGGTGAGGACGGTGTGGTGTGGGGAGTCCACAATTGGCCCCAAATTGGTGTGACTGCTTTTTAACCCAACTGCCCAGCATGCAAAGGCTGTGGCTTTTCCTGACTCTGTGACCTGCCCCCAGGGGGGTGAGAGCACCTTGTGGGTGAGACACCAGAGCAGGAGCAAAGGAAGCGGTGACTTCTACCCAGCCACCCGTCCCTCGCCTTCAAATTCCCCTCTGGAAATATTTCTCCTGCCTCTTCTTCCTTCTGTCACCATTTGATCCTTACTGGGCCGCCTCCCATGGGTCTCCCTCCTCCCAGACTGACAACCTTCCCTGAGACCAAACCCTGTGGTAAAAGGAACTGGTCCCCCTTCCCATGATCCCAGGAAACAGACCTT